CATACCGAACCCTTATGAAGAGTTCTTCAAGGTCGCGTTTGGCTCAGCAATCTACATACTCACCGTGTCATTGATAACCATCATGGCAAATGGCTTACTGCTTCTTGTGTTTTTCTTCGATCCTTTGAAGATCTTCAGAAATGCTACAACCTATTTCCTTGTCGGTCTTGCTGTGGTCGACATTCTGACGGCTGCAACGCAGGAACCGGTGTATGCCACGTGTTTCATTATGATGTACACAAGGCACCCTGATACCCGCTATACGTGCCCCAAACTATTGAGTGTTGGACAGACCATCTCTATAGCTTCGATGAATTGTTCGTTTCTTATCGTGCTCGCATTTACTTTAACACAATATGTTGTTGTGATTTCCCCTCTGAACTACGCTCAAAATGTAACGAAAAGGCGAGTTATTATCTGCGTCTTAGCTATCTATGTGTACAGCGTATTGTTCAGCGTGTTGCCGGAGATGGGAGTTTCTGAAGACGCGCAACGAAAGATTGACAATACATTTCACTCCATATGCTTGATATATTTTACCGTAATTATCTACATCCTTCTTTTTATCGCTTTTAAGAAGAAAATGGCTGNTTATTATCTGCGTCTTAGCTATCTATGTGTACGGCGTATTGTTCAGCGCGTTGCCGGAGATGGGAGTTTCTGAAGACGCGCAACGAAAGATTGACAATACATTTCACTCCATATGCTTGATATATTTTACCGTAATTATCTACATCCTTCTTTTTATCGCTTTTAAGAAGAAAATGGCTGATTCCAAGAGTCTTCGAGAAGACAAGAAAACTAACGATGGAAGCAAAGACGACAGGGGGACAGATGTTGAACGTAAGTTTATAACTGTCAATTTTCTTCTGATCGCCATCTTGTTTCTAACTTCGCAGCCAGCTGCAATGTTTTGGATTGCTAAGTTATACTCCTCGGAGGACCCTAACAGTCCGAAATTTCTTATCATTAATCTCATGGTGGATAACCTGCTTTACTTGAAGTTCTTGCTTGACCCGTTTGTGTACGCATGGCGAATTCCTAAATATCGTCAGGCGCTTATGATCGTCTTGCGTTGCGGCAAAGATAAGCCTGAGAGATCAAAGCTCAGTAATCGCGTCATAGCTGAGATGAGCAGATCACGTGAAACTGTTATAACTTTGGACTTCAAGTAAATTTCCAATCTTTAAAGTTGAAGAAAGTACTTCACTGCTCGTCCTTACTGAACATTTTGTTTCAATTTATTTACATGTCGCATTCCAAGATTATGCGATTATTACACTGACGCCTACACTTTGTTGACGCTTTTTCATCAGTTGTGATACTAATAACTTGCTTTACTGCAGCTAACAGTGATCTGGGCAATTAGATGAAAATTCATGGCAACCATGACAAATATTTAATCAGTACTTTAAATAATACCTTATAAAAGTGTATAAATTAGTCTTCATTTTTAGATTCAGATTTAGATTCGGATTCGACAACATTACAGTGCTTGGCTCCAAGCGAAGTGCTACTTATAGATTCAAATGTACCAAAACGTTTGCTGCACGTGCAAAGCTGTTATTTTACTTATTAGAACTACTGGTTTTTTAACGTTGTCTTTACTCTCTCCGCCATCGTTGCTAAAAAGCTCCTTGGTGAAAGTGCTGTGAGAAGGGACCTACGCATTCAATCGAATAACCGTGACATTTATTAAATGATTGCGTTTAATAAACTGCTTTACCTTGTGACACAAAGAGACCTCGAAATGACCTAAGGGTGGTGTAGTGTTGACTGGAAAAGACACCATTATAATTTTTCTATTTTCGCTTTGACTTGTCATGGAATTTGCTTTCTGTACTGGCAATTTTTTGGTTAAGTTTAATACAAGGTCAATGTCGTGTCCAATTCAGCGCCACTTCGAGGTTGCGAGGGAGACTTGGTCGAGATAGTTGTCAAAGTGCCATATGGGGTGGGACTGTTTTGGGACGCGGGTATTAGTGTATTTAGTGGAATCTCTAGTGTTTGATTAAAGATTTTTTGATATTATATACGGTGTCGAGTCTAAGGTAAGCGAGAATAGATAAATTAGGACTGTTTAAATGATGTTTTTCGTTCTTGCGAAATTAGATATTATAATGTTGGATAACCTCTGTTAGTAAAATAAATAAAAAATGAAAAAAAAGAAAAATGTATGTAATTTTTCTACCCACGAACTTGTGATTCGCTAATTGGTAATTGGAAATTATTCGTGCGTTTTTGAAGATCAAAATGGATGGGAGGGAAGGGGAGAAATATGGTATGAGCGACTCAGGCTGGCTAGAAACTATTTTATGACCAGTTAAGACTGTTTCGGCAAGAGCAGCTGAAAGCTCGGCCTCAGTGGCGCATCAATTTCTGCATGATCTGCAGGTTAATTTACGCTGAATTAATTTAACGCCTGTGAACTTATGAAACGTATTAATTCCGTAACTTCCAGGACGACTGTAACAGTTGAAAGTAAAATAAAAGGAAATAAAAGGAAGGTTTAGAAAGCAAGACAATAACTCTGCATGCGCCTCAAGCTTTTCGTCAAATTCACGGCCGCCCGGTATGAACTGCAACGCGAAATGATAATTGTTAGTTTCTCAGAGAAAGTTAACAGCAAGACGATAATCTCGTCACTAGATATACGAACTCGAATTCGGACCTCTCTCTCTTCACCTCCAAAATTATTCCCTACTCAGCTAAAAGCGTATGCGAAGTCAGATTTTTAGTGATATTTTTATTGGTGTCGCCCTTGTCGTATCACAAGATCCCCACAATTTTCGGTGAATTATTTGAGCCATTGAATCATTGCAGATGTTACTGCATGGTATTCTTAAGACATTGCATTTACCTGTGAATACTATTTTTACCACGAATGGCATTATCACCAGTGTTGCTTGTTCAAGAACAGATTATACTGGGAATTATGTAATTAAAATCAGCTGGCTTGTTTTGCGATTACTAAAGGGTCTTATTGTTAATCAAAATTTTGAAATACAGATTCTCCGATATAAATAAGTTCTTTCTCTACCCCTTCAAAAAGCTTGATTTAATAATGTGCTTTCGCTTTGATTTTAATAATGTCACGATAAATCTGATGACGTGTCAAACTTTTTCATTTGATACATTTAACTCTATTGAAGTTGTTACTTCATACTCACAAATAAAGTTCAACACTGGCTAAACACAAGAGATATAAGGCCTGAATGATCGGCTTTTAAATTAGCTTTTTCATTCAGTTACCCCTGGTGATTAAGGTTCATATTAAGAGTTAAGAAATAAATAGAGGAAAAAAAATAATCAAGTGTACCTCAGGAATACAATACCGCAGACTGATCGAACAACCTGATAAAATTAAATGAAAAAAAGAAAGATTTTGATGAAAATGATAACAGGCAGGGATTCTATATATATTTATATATTTTTTTGCATGCAAGTAAACAAGGTATAAAGAGCTCAGTTCCATTCTAGATCAGAACAGACTCTGTGAACTCAACAACAGGTGTACCTAATCCTAGAAAACAAACCAAAGATGAACTTCACTTGCAACAATTCCTGGTCGGTCCGCAATAGGTCCTTGCCGAACGAAAATGACAGTGAATCAAACAATAATTCACTGTGCCTGGATTCAATCCAGTCAGGACTTGCTGCAGTAAACCCATACGCCGCTTTCTTTTCGGTAGCATTCGGTTCGTCTATCTTTATCGTCATTGTTTCTTTTATCACCGTGGTGGCCAACAGTTGCCTTCTCTTAGCTTTCTTCGTGGACCCACTGAAGATGTTTCGTAATCCCACTACATATTTTCTCATTGGTTTAGCAATAGCTGACTTGCTGAGCGCCTTGGTTCAGGAACCGATATACGCCGCCTGTTTTATGCTTCTGTACTTTCAGAGTCCTTCGGCGAAGAAATGTCCACCCTTTATGGCTTTTGGAAAACAGTTCGTATCAACTACCATGACGGTTTCCTTTATCATCGTTTTTGCCTTTACCTTGACGCAGTATATCGTGGTTTCATCTCCATTAAAGTATGCTCGATTAGTGACCAAGAAGAAGGTTTTGATCGGCGTTGCTACCATTTACGTCTACTCTTCATTTTTGTGGTGCCTTCCCTTAATGGGCTTGTCTTTGCACTACGTTGAAATGTTTGATTTAATTGTCCATAACTATGTTTTAGTTATCAGTACCGTTGTTCTCTACATCCTTTTACACCGCCTGATGAAGAAAAAGATGGCAGCGGGAAACTCTCTTCAAGGGCAAGCTACTTCAAGGGAAGACAGTAGACACACCCAAGTACAGCGCAACTTCGTGCGCGTAAATTTTATGCTCCTTGCCGTGCTGACCATATGTGCTATGCCTCCAGCTATCATGTGGACAATAGTAATTTCCATAGGAAAGACACTTAATCCTTCGGTGAATTTGCTGATTGGCCAGCTTATGTCTGATAACCTGTTTTATCTAAAGTCCCTTCTTAACCCATTTATTTACGCTTGGCGTTTGATGAAGTATCGCCAGGCTTTTTACAAGAGTTTTTATCGCAAGAAAACTGGGAAATACTCGGGAGAAACAAAAAGTGCTACTGGAACAAGAAGCAGAGGTGAACTAGTAGAAGTGTCAAGTTTCACGTCAAATGCTGTAAGCTTTCCATCCAGCCAATCAGTGATTACTTTGCTGAGCTTCAAAGAACTGGAAAAGTAGTCAGTATTTTTTTTTTATTTCTGGCTATGTGTAAGTTTTTGTGTAAATAACTGTGAATAACTCTTACTAAAACATTTATCAAACAACTGCCATAAATATTACGTTTTACCCTCATATGACGAGAGTGGACAATGCAGTTGACTACCAGTAAAAGATCCTCGTAATTAACCAAACTGCTAAACGAGGTATTTAACTATCCCTTGATCACTTGTAAATACAGATATGCAGTGTTAGCAGAAGCAAAGTCGGGGGAGCAGTCACTCGCCTTTTTACTCGCAGAAACTTGCCATATTCT